CTTTGTTCCTAGGATGGCAGGTTGTGACCACTTCTCCCACTGCCAGTGCACCTGCCTTACGTAAAGAGACTCTATTTTCTTTAAGAAATTCTTATCTTCTCTGAGCAGGGGGAAACCAGATAACTAAGCTCATTTAAATGAGCCTCAAATTAGAGCAATCCTCAAATTAGAGCAATAACACTCCAAGTTCAGTCCCAGCTAAACAGATAGTGTTCCTGGACTTGGAGGCAGTCAATTCAACTCTCCAGGGCTTCCCCCTCACTCCGCACCTCCCACATACTTGAGGGCTCACAGCTGCATCTGTAAGGTCAGGGAGGCCAGACGTCTGACTTACAGACAGGCAGGACTCAACAGCTCTGAACAGCTGACAGTATGATTCTAAGATTCTGAAGCTGGTCCTACTGCAGCACCCAACCTCCTCAATTCAGCAGCTTGTTTGTAAAGATGGAAAGTAGTGCTGGAATGAATGTGAAACCTGAAATTCCAGCTTAACAAGGGAAAAGAATGTGATGCCATTAACTGGTATTGACAGATTTTGTGATCACCCACAGGACACAAAGCATTTTGTGAAGAACGTGACTATGAGATTATCCCTCTTTCGTAAGTCCTGGGCAAAAGTGATGGGAGGAAAACATAACATCTCTGTGAATTAAAGCTTAAAATTAAATTTAAAGAAAACTCTAATAAATTTCTCTTCTAAAACTAAAGTTATAAATGTAACCTAAGAAAAATAGATTTCAATACATCTATAGATTTTTTTTATTCCCTACATGCAAAATTTTTTAGTTTTAACAGCTTCATTTGGCTTTAATATGGTAAGCTTAGAAGTTATTAAGCATAGAACATTTGAGTCCAGGAGACAGAATATTCTTAAGGTTTATATTATAAAGAAGACAGAGGTAGGTGCTAGAATAAAAAATACATTATCTCAGAATTTGTTGAAACAGCATAATCCATAAAAATATTGGATTACTAGGTTGTACACCTGAAACTAATGTAATAATTGCATGTCAACTATAATTACAAAAACTAGT